ACAACGGAACAAATTCGATGCGAAAGTTGACGAATGATTATTCTTGGGATATTCGCTGACCTCCAAGGCATATCGGGTTCTCAACAAATGATTTAAAAAGAAAGAAGAAACCTACTATGTCACGTTCGATGATAATTACATGAAGAGGGCTCAGATGAATGATAGTTTATTGAAGGAGATTTTTTGTAAAGCAAGTCCAGCTATGATTCCACTATCTACTCTTTATGAGGAATTCATGCTACTATTTGATGAGCCAAATAAGGCTATATCATCTTAATCAAAAGCAAATAACAACAAGGCCGATGAATTGAAGAAAATAATTGACGATGCTGCGAAAGATATGCACAAAAAGCCACCAAGTGCGAATGACCCACATGAAACGAACACTACATTCCAGGGGGAGAGTTTTGAATCAACTTCCAATGCAAATTTTTAAGAGGAGCACTCTACTCCACAAGAGACCCACAAAGTCCAATCCAAGGGAAGAATCTAACACCTGAAGAAGAGACAATCACATCATTCGAGGGGGAAAAAGGTAATATGAATGATGATTTGGATGTACATAATGATGATTCGGATATATAGTCAGAATTTGAGGATATAAATGTTGAATTGGATCCCTCTTATGATCCTAATTATCCTCCTCTGACTAAATGGGCTAGAGATCATCCGAAAATGCAGGTTATAGGTAAATCATCTTCAGGGGTTCTTAGAAGAGAACAATAAAAGGTGAAGTGAACTATTTCATTCTCCAAAGTAGAATATTTCATGTTTAATTTGTTTATCTCCAAATTCGAACCCAAAAATGTTCATATTGCTCTAGACCATTCGGATTGGGTACAAGCAATGCAGGAAGAGCTCAATGAATTTGAACGAAACAAAGTCTGGAGACTGATTCCTACTCAAAAGGATGAATCTGTGGGTTAAAGTGGGTGTTCACAACAAGCTTGATAAAAAGGGAAAAGTTATACGAAATAAAACACGACTAGTTTTAAAGGGGTACTATCAAGAAGATGGCATTGACTACGAAGAAACCTTCGCTCCTATGGCTAGGCTAGAATTCGTTCACATCTTTCTAGCTTATGTGGCACATAAGAATTTTGAAGTTTATCAAATGGATGTCAAATGTGCCTTTTTCAATGGTGATCTAGAGGGGACAGTTTACATGGAGCAACCACCAGGCTTTATAAACAAGAAGTATCCAAACCACTGCTATATTCTGGACAAAGCGGTCTATGGTCTAAAGCAAGCTCCAAGAGCCTGGTACAAAACCCATACTCATTTTTTTAAACAGGCTATATTTAAACAAGGTTAGGTCGACCCAACCTTCTTTCGAAGAAAGACTGTGACCTTTAATGATCGTCCAAATTTATGTTGATGAAATCATCTTTGGATCTACTAACCCCAGCTTAACAGTTGAATTCTGAAAAGTTGATGGAAACTAAATTTAGGATGAGCTCCATCGCTCCGATTAACTTTTCCATGGTTTAAACATAAGACAGAGTCACGATGCTATATTTATCAACCAGTAGGCCTACACAAATACCTTACTCATTAAGTTCGTAATGGTGGGAGACTCAAAAATGAAGGTTCCACTAGCATTCGGAACGAAACTAACACCATCTCCAGAAAAACCAGTTGATGATATGACACTTTATAATCAAATGATAGGATCATTGATGTATTTAATAGCTGATCGACTAGACATTATGTTTTACGTTTGTGATTGTGTTAGGTTCCTAGCAAATCCCGACGAACCACACATGCTAGCTGTGAAGAACATTTCCAGGCACTTAATACGAACATCCTTACTTGGAATATGGTATCCATCAAGCTCAGGTTTCTTCGTACAAGCTTTTTCGGATGCTGATCTAGGAGGCTATGTACTGGATAGAAAGAGTACAACGGGAGGATTCCAATTCTTGGATGACAAGCTCGTAAGTTGGCAGTCGAAAAAGCAAAATTGCATATCCCTCTCAACTACTGAAGCATAGTATATAGTTGCAGCCTCATGCACTTTACAAGTCATTTGGATTCAAATCCAACTTCATGACTATGGCATTAACATGAATCGAATCCCCTTATATTGCAACTCTGAAAGCGCCATTTGAATTTGTCATAACCCAGTGCAACACTCAAAGATGAAACACATTGCATTGAGGTATCATTTCATCAAAGATCGCGTGGAAGATGGTAATGTTAAGATACATTTTGTAACATCTGCTAATCAGTTGGAAGACATCTTCACGAAAGCCTTACCTGAACCTACCTTTAATCGTATTCTTCAAGGCTTAGGAATGATAGAATTTGAGTCTATTCCAAAAACACTTTTTCTTTAATAGTGACACTTTCGTTTTTGGTTATACTTTCGCACTCGCAACCTACAGGATGTCATGCGAATTGAGGTGAATGCTCGCAGTAATTCGCAGTCATCTTTTGTTCCGCAAATCGGTGCGAATGCTCGCAGTAATTCGCAACCCTTTTTTATCCCACGACTTCATACGAAATCTCTACATATCTCATTATCAACGGTTCATTCGTGCTTTGGAGCGTTTTATATCCTTTTGTGCATTATGTATATTTGTTTATTTTTTTCATTTTTTTTTTCATTCGAAATTACAAAAACATTTAATGGTTTTTTTTTAATTTAATTTAATTTAACTTTATTTAATTTTATTTTTTTGTTTTTTCAGAATATCAAAATTCAAAAACATTTTTCTTCTTTCTGTTTTTATTTTATTTTTTCAAAAAAACTCAAAGTCCAAAAAAAAAAAATTTGTCACATGTTCATATTTCTTTCATTAGATATATGTGCAAATTTGAAGGAAAAATCTTTACTTTTTAATCACGAATGATGGGGCAGGTATAAATTTCTTTATCGATGAACTAGCCAATTGTCCCTAAAAGCATGTTATCTGAAGCCTCCTAGACTCTATGTGAAGCCTTCATGAATCGGTAATATAAATCGTTTCTTCCCAATTAGGATGCGAATTCACTTAAGTCATGAGCGACCCCACTCTTCTCACATTGAGTAACGAGTTAGATGCTTGTTCACTTTCGCATAAAAGAGGTACACTATCTTCTTTGCAACCACCTTATACTTTTCTCCACTACTTTCGCATTCACCAAAATAATCCTCGAGACTCTCAGATATTACCAATGAGGTTTATGGTTACACAATTTATGTGTTCATGATCTTCAATTCGTTATCACCCAAATTGAGTGAAACCCAAAATCCAAAACACTTATACGAATTAATGGTGAATAATTTACATGTTCAAGACTCTTCACCAAGGAATTAACGAAACTCCACTTTTCTGGTCTGTACCAGGGAATCTCTTTTTTCATTTGCGAGATCTTAATGAAATGTTCTAGGTCTAAGACGTTTCTTCAAGATAGATCCAAATTTCCTTATGAGATTTCAAAGCGAATCCATGTCACTTAAAATAATTCCAAAAACTTACTTTTTCAATTGAATCACTAGAAAAACTAGTACTCCATTCGAAATTCCGGACTTATATCAAGTTTTGTAGTTTTGTTTGAGATAAAAGCACCCAATAAAACCTTTAAAAGATGCATTTCACTGTTTCTTAATAAACAGGTGATCGTAATTCAACGGGGAACCACACCGACACTTCTTAGTCTCTCTTGAATTCGAAGGAAGAGATCTTTCCTCGGGATCCACTGTTTCTTGTCTTAAGCAAGACATCACTAAAATCCCACACAAATATATTGTTTTATTTCATTATCATTGGCACACTCTGGCACAAAGATCTTTGTGATTTTCCAAAAGTTTGGTTCGTGACACTCACATTTATTTTCATTTTCATAGTTCAGTTCAAGTTTACTTAAACGTGAACATTCGTATCTACATGCGAAAGGCAGTGCATTACTTTATTGCGAAAGGGAAAAACTGAAGCGGCAGTTCTAATGGATAAGATTTCAAATGCTCGCGTGAAAATTTGAACTGAGTACTAGTTTTCCGTCGTCTGACATCTTTTTCTGACGCAACAGTTGTCACATCGTGTCTTTTCAGGCGACGTTTCAGTAATCGATACACCAAACTTCCGGATTTCTCTCTTCCATCAAATCGTATAAAAGGTTTTTGGAGATTCAACACTTATTATCACTTTCAAAAATCCTCACAAAATTCCAACAATTAAACCTCTCTACTGTTCATCTTCTATAAGAAATCAACAATGGCAAGTTCCTATGAAACCCCTTCTATTCAAGATCATTCTGCAACGTCATTGCTTCTTGCTATCAAGCCAAATCAAAACTTGATTTTGGATCTTAATACTCTTAAATACGACAGCTAAATGCTACCCATTGTCGAGTGTCTGAAATATTCCTCTGTTGTTAAAGCTTTGATAACATCTGAGATTATTCTGATGTCTCTCATATCAAAGGCTTACTCGTCAGCTTGCTACATCAAGGAAGAACAAAGAATCACCTTCGAAGTTCACAACAAGACAACCTCAATGACCAAGTCTTGATTTTTCTCTTTGCTAGGGCTTACTCAGACCAATGATATGGTACATCCTAACTACATCACAATTGCCGCTATCATAGAGATGTTCTAACTAATGGGTTACAAAGAAACCCTAACTACCATCTTAAAGTTCAGGAAACCAATATGCTGCCTCAATGGAATAGGCTTTTTACCCTATTATTCAAGAGCTTCTTCTGAGCGTGTGACTAGATCTGATTGTGCCAGTAAACTATTCATGACCATCATTTATGGGATCTACACTAGGGTCAACATCGATTTTGGGGCTGTTCTTTGTGCTCAGTTATCCCAAAGTCCCCATTCTACAAATCGACACAGTGAAATTTCCTATGCACGATTATGGACGATCGTTATCCAACGGGCAATTGAGAAGCTTCAAATTCCAGTGATGCAAAATTCATTTATGTCTTCTATGTCAATCTTTCACACTATGAATTTCATCATTTCTGAAAACTCCAAGTTCTTGTTCGTTGGTTCCATTCCTGAAGCCATGTTTCGGGTTGTTCCTACTGCAAGCAAGATTCTTGAAGCTTACAGGAAACTTTCAGTGTTAGGATTTTGCCCTTTAATTGATAAGATGCGAGCAGTATTGGAAGAGGCTGATAAGCCTAATAAAGGAGAAAAGAAGAAAGCGGCGAAAGAAGGTATTTTAACAACAATTGTAATTCCCAAGTAACAAAAGACACAAGCTGGCTCATCTACACCAGTTCCTCCTCCAACCAAAAGGTAAAAGATAAAGAAGGAAACTCGCAAGCCCAGATCTCCAATTTCCAATGAAAGCGGATGTTCGCAGTCTGACACTCAGTCAGACGTTCCAATTGAAGTACATGAGCTTGTCCAAACCGAAGACATTGCTGCAACTTCAAATCCTGAGTTTTCACATCCTATTTCTATAAACCAAGAGGTAACCTTTCAGATTCCTGTCTCAGATCCTATTACTGATGAATTCTTTGATAATATCTTGATTCCCTCTCCTACTACTACTATTTCAACACCAACTTCCATTGCCCCATGCCACCTGTCTCGTTAGGTGTTTCTCAATCCCCACCCATTTTCATCGATTCTACCACCACACCAACAACAACTATTGAGCGACCTATTTCTATCAACGCATCTTATACGGGGATATGAACTTCAGCTTTAGACACTGGTAATTCCACACCACCCATTTCCCCTCTTCGCCAAAATGGCCAAGATATGATTTTCGGTGATGATGATGACTTCGCAAGATTCACCTACAGTCCATTCAAAATCAGGAGTCAAAGTGATGACGAATCTCCCATCACGAGAGGCCAACTCAAGGCGATAAACGAAACACTAGACTCGCTGCTTCACGCTACAAATACATCTTCCACCAATGATTATTCACAAGCAACAATCAAATCCATTCTTGACACGCTTACAAATGAGCACTCCTCCAACCTTGAAAATATGAACAAGGCGGTAGATGCTTCTGCTATACTCTACAACAACATGACCGAAAAACTCAATAAACTAATTAATCATGCACAAGTATTTATGGAGAAGTTCGAAAGCTCCATTGAGTCCAACACTACGAAGGCTAATGAAGCCATTTCTATCCTGGGCTTAACACTTAAAACTGAGAAGGTGAAACTATTGGATTAGTGTCTAAGTCCATAACTATTTTGGTATGTACTTGACCCGATGCTGCATGGTCCTTTTGGGTTGCCTTTACCAAAGCAACTTGATAGGATGAATTATGGAGAGAAAGGATTAAATATGATTTATTAATATATTATGAGAATAATACATTAAAGGAGAAATCATATTTTTTTAATTAATATTAGTCAATAATTAATTGGTAATTAGTTTTGTGACTAAAATACATTAATTAAACTTAAGGGACTGGAATTGTAATTATAAGATAATTGCAATTTGGGCTATGGATTGCCTTATATTAAGGAGCGGAAAAAAATTCTATGGGAAAGCCCATGAGGAAATCGTCCAAGGCCATAAGGAAAGGAATCTATGGGTTGCTTAGGGCTTAAGCATCCAATTTAGGGTTTCCTTGTTAGATAACCCTAATAGCCTAACTATATATACATCCCTTATGACCTAAAAACGTTGAGAAGCATCCTTCTAGGGTTTCACACGTTTTAGGGCAGCCTCCATCCTCTCTCCACTTCATCCTCTTGCTCTTGGTGTTTGCGAACCATTAGAGGAGTGACATTTGTGACTCTAAGCTTTCTAAAGTCAATACAAGGAGGAATTGGATTGTTATTGCTACATAACAATCAAGGTAATGTCTTAAACCCATTCTTATGTTAATATGATTACTTGTATGCTAGAATTAGGGTTTATAGTCTTGGATAACTTGCATGTACAATAGAGAAACCTAGATCCAAGCATTAGGGTTTGTATGAGCACATAGGATGTTCTTATGACCAAAACCCATCAGTGGTATCAGAGCCATGATTGGTTTCTATTGTATTGATGCTTTGTTTGTTTGTTCAAGCTTAAAAATCAAAATTTTGGGATTCTGGGGGTTGAACTCGCCTAGTCCATGCTGACTCGACGAGCCCATGCCCGACTCGACGAGTCAGTCGGTCAGAAAGAGCGAAAAACGGGATTTCTTGCTGTTTTTGCTTGAGGATAATTACCTTATCAAATTAGATCAATATAAATCTATTTTTTTGATATATTTTAGTATATTCTTGATCTAATTGAAGATATTTATCAATTAATAAAATATTTGTTTCCTTATGTGATAATTGATTAATTATTTTGATTAAATTGGTAAATTGTTTTGCAAGAAATCATTAAATAAATCAAATATGGATAATTATGTGATTAAATGTTAATTAAGATTATTTGTTATTTGATCCTTGTTGTTATGAAAAGTTTCATATTTTCCCCTTTAGGTTTTATAGTTTAAATTTGAACCCAAAAGTTTTGTTGTTTTGAAATTTAAATAGTTGAAACCCTAATGTTTTGAAAAAGGTTTCAAAACTTGCCCTCAAGTTTTGGAATTTAAATTTTGATTAATAATTTAATTTTGATGTATATTTAAATTCTAAACCCTAATGTTTTGAAATGTTTCAAAACTTGCCCTCAAGTTTTGGAATTTAAAAGTTGATTAAAGGTTTAATTAGGAATGTTAAATTCTAAAACCCTAGTAATGTTTTGAAAAGTTCAAATCACACCCTATAGTTGTTTAATTAATGTTAATTAACCCTTATGGTTTTATAATTAATTAAGGTGTATAATTAAAAAGATTAATAAATCCATAAAAGTTAGGTTTACAATTTAATTGAATTAAAGTATAATTGTTAAATTTGACCACCTAGTATTTTAAAAGTGTAAAATACACCCTATACTATATATAACATTAAAAGTCTAACATATATATATATATATATATATGTATATATATATATATATATATATGAGTAAAAGTCAGTCTTACCGTTAGTAGGCCTCATTCACGAAGCTGGTCTATAAGGGGTGTATAAGGAAATTGCCTATAAAATGGCGATTGAATGGATATCCACTCTTGACTAGTGGAGGGTTGTTAGCTTAACGGGTAGGATAGGACGAAACCTTCCATTATAAGTATAATGAAATACAAAAGTAACTAAATGTTTTTACAAATTCCCAATCTTAGTTACTTAGGCAAAGTGAATTGATGCAATTCCATGAAATTACACTTTGTGCCCTTGCGAAGACGTTAGTGGAGCGTGTGTGGTTTACCGGCACACTAAATGGTTCTAAGCAAAGGTAGCAAAGGGTGACTCAATGTTTGTCATAGTTCGGTGGAGTGTGTGGTTTACCGGCACATCGAATAGGTGACTGTAACATGTGAGGGCACCATGTAAGTTTGCATGGTTATTCACACCCGCTTTGTGATCCTCGGCATCCCAGTCACAAACAAGAGGGGCATATCGAGATTTAAACATGCCATTGAAATGTTCAATGAATCTCAAAGGATCTAGGAGTTTTCATAGGTTTAAAACTTAAATTTCTTTTTCGTTTTCATGGTGGAAATTAGTGAATCGTCATTCACTTACCTTCAAATATTCTGCAATTAGGGTTACGGCATCCCTCTCCCGAGTTGTGGAATATTGTGTTGGGTCCTAGCCTTAGTATCTCATTTGGGTGATTTACTAAGGACTCAATCAATCAACTAACTTGAATTTGTTTCTCCCGTTTTGTAGATGTCTAAGTTCGACAACTATGGTCTTCCCAAATCCCGAGGAACAAGCATTCCACATGAAGATGGCATTCCACGATTCGATCGAGGAACAAGAAATCATGCTTCACTTCCTCCACCTCCTCCAATTGTTCTCCCTAACCCACAAGATCGAAGAATTGAAAGGTTCAATATCACTAAAGCCCTATTGGAAATGAAACATGAAGATGGTAAACCCGTGTGTGCCCACGTTCTAGGAATGAAATCACACATTGATAGGTTGATAATGTTGGGTGTGTCATTCCCAGATGAGTTGGCTGTGAATTGGGTTTTGCAGTCACTTCCTGAATCATATAATGAGTTCAAAAGAAAGTATTATATGATGGATCATGACAACAACCATTGACCTAACTTATATGCTCATTGCTGCTGAATCAGAAATGATTTGGCGAAGCAATGGAGCGTATTTGTTGGCAAAGTCAACTGACCATGCTTCCGAGGACGTTCTAGGAGAACCGACCTGTATTTGCTGCCAAAAGAAAGGGCGTTGGATACAAGTCTGGCCAAAGAGCCTGAAGAGTCCAGAAAATGGGAGAGTCAAAGTGTATGGCTGCGCTTCAGGTAAAATCCAATATCTAACTCCGTTAAGTTCCTATTCATTGATTCTTAATACATGATGTGATAAGATTGCATTTGAATGTTTTGCAGGATCAGTGAAAAGAAACGAAGCTTGGTGAAAGAGCAAGATGAATCTAATCACGAGGAATGGATCCTGATCGCATGGACTTGAAGATTAGATTTTGAGGTTAGATAGTTATGATAGAGTTGTTAGAAATTTTCCTTTTGAAATACATAGTTTTCAATGGATTTTGCATTGTAAGGACAAATGTTTTCCGCTGCTTTTATAAATAAAATAAATTTTCGTTTGACTTATTTATTTATTTGTTTGTTTATTTCCTTGAAATGAAATCGTTATGAAAATTGGTGTTTTCATATTTCTACAACAAATGGATACGATTCTTATTTATGGTGTTTATGGAAAAGTCAAGAATTTACCAAATAGGGAGAGTTTCTCATCGCCCAAGTTTCAATTGGACAGAAATTTGGAATCATGCAACTTGGTTGCACAAAGAATGAAAAATTTCATATTTGGAAATTAGACTAATTCATTGACAAAGTGTTAAGTGAGGGACTATGAGATCGAGTACACAAAGTTGTGTGTTCGTCAAAGTCCACCATAAGAGTAAAAAGATATTCGTCATGGTTTACTAAAAGTTTAGTAAATATGATTATACTCATAAGATTAAGTGTAATTCTGAATTGATTGAAAAAGTTTAAATCAATAGCAAAACGAATAAGAAGAATCAAGTAGGCAGAAAGATAAAAGTTTCTCCATTCTAAGAACAAGGGAGAGTACCTTTTATGCTTTATGATAAGTCTTAATGATTAAGAACCATATCTCAATTGATCCTCTAAGTGAGTCTTAGTACAATTGTATATCTAAGAAGAGGAATCAAGAATTGAAGAAATGGTTAAATCAAAAAGTCAATCATACTTCATTCCAATAACAAGTCTTAAAGTTAAGCTTGTGGCAATAAGTGACAAGTATTAAGAAGGTTTTTAACATTCATCAAATGTGGAAAGTTGTGATGTCTTGGATAAGACAAAGACCAACTAGGACCATTTTATGAAGTGTTATGATAAAAACTACACTAACTCTTGAATATTTGGTTGTCAAGAAATGTTTATTGACAAGAGAATCTTATATGTCAAGGAGTCAGTGGGAGTCTTAATGGTCTTGGAAGGTTTCAAGAACAAATCAAATAAACCTTATCGATCATCACTATCAGACGAGATGAGGTTTACAACCTATCGTGTTGACACTATTTTGTTTTCTATGCCATTCCAATTGAGTTAATTGTGCATATGATTCCTATGAGTTCTCGTTTGAATGCACAAAAGGCAAGGACCTTCATCAATGGAAAGTACCTTGATAGGCAAAGGTGAACTGCTTAACTACTTGGAAGACATGGTGGGCAGCTGTGCTACCATAAGTCAAGAAATCAAGATTAAGAAAGTTCGGTCCATATGAGTTTGAATTTGTTGTAAACTTTGGTTTTAACAAATTCACATGGATAGGAACACATACACTATTTAATTCTAAGTGTCATAAGATTTCCTCCTTCATGAAAATGATTGTGAGGAAATGCTTTCACTAAGAAAGATTTTAAAAAAGATAGTGATTGTAAAATTGCATTCTCAAATTCGATTATGGTTACGATATCCCTTTCCATGATTTGAGTTGTGAGGCTTGGCAATTAGTCTTAATTGTTTAGACACACATATCAACTATCTAAGGCAAAGGTTTATAAGTTCAAGAAGCTTTGATAAAAGATTATCAAAGCACTAAGTATTAGAAACATGGGCTTAAGAAATTCAATAGGTATTGTTTTTCTGAAAGTTAAGATGTTTATGA